AAAACATCAACTAAATATACACTAAGCACTCATAACATAAAACATTGAACATCAGCACAAACATGAACATGAGTCTGTGAGCAGATGTGCACGCATGAACACATCAACATTGAAACAGATCAGCAGCAACATGAAACAGATCAGCAGCAACATGATATGGATTTTCACAGTGATTATTCTAGTTAGAGATTCATGAGTCTAACAGCCTCAGGGTAGAAGCTGTTCCTCAGTCTAGTGGTTCTACACTTAATGCTCCTTAACCTCCTTCCTGAGGGGAGTGGGGCAAAAAGTGTGGGTGAGTGGGGTCCTTCATGACGCAGGTAGCCCTCTTCCTGCATCTGGAGGTGTAGATGTCTGTGATGGTGGGGGAGGCTGATTCCGACAGACTTCTGTGCAGCCTTCACCACTCTCTGCAAAGCTTTTCTTTCTGCAGCTGTGCAGCCTCCATGCCATACGTTGATGCTGGAGCACAGGATGCTCTCCACTGCACACCTGTAGAAGGAGGTGAGGACTGAGCTTCCCAGAACAGCTCGCCTCAGCCGTCTGAGGAAGTAGAGTCTCTGATGAGCTTTCTTGATCAGGCTGGTGGTGTTGTTGCTCCAGCTGAGGTTGTTATTCATGTGTACACCCAAGTACTTGTAGCTGGAGACCACTTCCACCGCAGATCCTCTTATGTTCAGGGGGGTGTAGATGTGTTTGTTCCTTCTGAAGTCCACAATCATCTCCTTTGTCTTCTTCACATTGATGTGAAGGTTATTCTCTCTGCACCAGCTCTCCAGGTGTTCCACCTCCTGCCTGTAGCTGGACTCATCATTGTTTGTGATGCATCCCACCACCGCTGTATCATCTGCAAACTTTACAATGTGACAGCCTGGATGGGTAGCTGCACAATCATACGTGAGCAGAGTAAACAGGAGGGGGCTCAACACACATCCCTGAGGAGAGCCAGTGCTGAGGGTTATGGTGGAGGAGGAGAGGTTGTGGATCCTCACTAACTGTGGTCTGTTTGTTAAAAAGTCTAGTACCCAGTTGCAAATGGAGGGGCTTAGTCCTAGTGTGGATAGTTTGTCCATCAGGGTTTGGAGGATCATGGTGTTGAAGGCGGATGTGAAGTCCACAAAGAGCATACGGACGAAAGAGTTTTTCTGCTCCAGGTGGTTGAGCGCATTGTGGACCACAGAGGAGATTGCATCCTCTGTTGATCGGTTCTCACGGTATGCATACTGATGAGGGTCCTCGTTGATGTTGATGGTTGTTTTGATGCGAGTCATGACCAGTTTTTCAAAGCATTTAGCGACTATCGGGGTGAGGGCCACTGGCCGATAGTCATTCAGACCAGTCACTGTAGAGCTTTTTGGGACTGGGCTGATGGTGGCAGTCTTCAGGCAGGTGGGAACTGTTTCCAGGGTAAGTGAGGTGTTAAAGATGTCTGCCAGCACCTCACAGAGCTGATCAGCACATTCCTTCAACACTTTTCCGGGGATGTTGTCTGGGCCAGTTGCCTTGTGCGGATTAATCCTCCTGAAAGTACTCCTTACTTCTGCTGAGGTCACGCTGAGATGCTCTTCATCCGGTGGTGAGGTGAGTCTGGTGCTGATTTGATCTGATTTATGATCCGTGACATAAGACACAGAGAGAACAGATTATCTGTGCTATTTTATAGTTTTACAAAGTGCACACAAAAAAGTTAAAAAAAAATTATGCTGTTTCAAAACACTTAGACCGTAGCTCAGGAACCAATTTCATTAAAACAAGAAGCTTGGACAGTTTATCACTGTAAATATATTTACCTGATAATATTTACCTTTTTTCTCACTTTTTTCTTTTGTCTGTCACTTTAGACTACAGATCATTTAAGATGTATTGATCAGCTAAATTGAAACAAACTTACAGAACATAGTAATGTTTTTTTTATATCCTGAAGGGGCAAATCTGTGATAATCTTTTATTACATATTTTGCAGAAACTAAGTACTGTACCGAAAATATAAGAAGATGTCTATATGGAAAAAAATGTAATTTAAAAAAGGTATGTGTTGTATTTGTGACTCATATCTGTGGTCCCTTGTTGAAAGTCATGGAAATATTGGAGGGGAAAACGACAAAATGACAATTAGTAGCTAAGTAGTTCTTTTCTTTAAAAATGGTGATAAATGTGTGTTCAATAATTATAGACCAATATCCTTATTACCACAGTTCTCAAAAATTCTAGAAAAACTATTTGTGACCACATTAGATAAATTTATTACTAAACAAAACATTCTAAGTAGCAGTCAGTATGGGTTTAGAGCAAAACACTCTACATCAATGGCTCTCATGGAAAAAATAGAACAAATAACTAGTGCTGTCGATCAAAAACAGTGTTAGTATTTTTGTTGATTTAAAAAAGCATTCGATACTATTGACCACACTATTCTCCTTGAAAAATTAAATAAATATAATATAAGAGGGTGGCAGCACGGTGGCGCAACTGGTAGAGCTGCTGCCTCTCAGCGAGCAGGTCCTTGGTTCAAATCCCCGTCCGGGGGCCTTTCTGGGTGGAGTTTGCATGTTCTCTCCATGCATGTGTGGGTTTTCTCCGGGTACTCCGGTTTCCTCCCACAGTCCAAAAACATGCATGTTAGTCTGATTGGTAACTCTAAATTGTCCCTAGGTGTGAGTGAGAGAGTGAATGGTTGTTTGTCTCGTTTGTCTCTATGTGGCCCTGTGATGGACTGGAGACCTGTCCAGGGTGTACCCTGCCCCCTGCACAGTGATTGCTGGACATGGGCACCGGCGACCCCCGTGACCCAAAATGGAATAAACAGGTAAAAGAAAATGGATGGATGGATGGATGGTATAAGAGGACCAGCATTACACTGGGTATCTAGCTATTTAAAAGATAGGAAACAGTTTGTACAAATAAACGGTGTAAGATCTGACCTGTGCAATATCACTTGTGGAGTTCCTCAAGGCTCTGTACTTGGACGAAAGTTATTTATTTTATATGTGAATGACTTAGTGAATGCATCAGGACTCCTCAAATGTGTCCTTTTTGCAGATGACACCACATTTTTTTGTTTGGGTAAAGATATAAAACGGATGTTGGAATTGATGAAGACAGAATTTGATAAAATACAAACTTGGTTTAAACTTAATAAATTATCATTAAATTTAGATAAAACTAAATACATGATATTTAGTAACAAAAAGAGAACTGTTGATGATCCATTTAAAATTGAGGGTGTTGAGATTTGTAGAGTTAATGAGATGAAATTTTTGGGTGTAATCATTGATGAACAGCTAACATGGAAAAATCACATAAATTCTGTAAGAACAAAAATATCTAAATCTATTGCAGTACTATACAAAGTCAGGGAATTATTAAATGATAAAGCTCTGTACATGTTGTATAACACAATCATTGTTCCACATTTAATCTATTGCATTGATGTTTGGGGGAAAGCGTGTAAAACATTTACAAAACCTATTTTTATTTTACAGAAAAGAGCTGTAAGAATTATCACCAGAAAGCATTACTGTCACCCATCAAGCACATTATTTTATCAACTGAAGTTATTGAAGTTCCATGATTTGGTAGATTATAGTATTTTATCAGTTATGTATAGGGCTCAAAATAACATTACCATTAAATATCCAAATAAATTTTGTTAAAAGTCAAAGTTGTTATAATCTTAAGGGGATAGAGATATTTGTCAAACCAAAATTCAGAACTAGTCTGAAGGGAAGGTCTACCTCAATCCAAGGAGTTGGATTGTGGAATGGTCTAGAGAGTGATGTGAAAAATGCCAAGTCAATGTGTACATTTAAGAAAAAGATCAAAGCTGAATTGTTGAAAAAATATATGAAGTAGCTTAGTGTGTGTTTTGTATTAGAATTAGAAAAATTAGAAAGAGTTGTTCATTTTGTTCTGTTACTTGAAAATTATTATGATTGAAATAATTGTTTGAAAAAAGGGGCAGATATAATAAGATTTTTTTCTTCTTTCTGCTGCCTTTCATTTTAAATCTCTTATCTTTTTTTTTTATATATTGTTATGGAATTGTTTTGTACTTTTTTAAAATGAATAAACTTTATACCATACCATACAATTCCATGAGTGACCACACGAGGTCACTATCGATTCTACAGTGACAGACGTCCATCCATTTTCTTTACCCGCTTATTCCATTTTGGGTCACGGGGGTCGCCGGTGCCCATGTCCAGCAATCACTGTGCGAGGGGCCGGGTACACCCTGGATGGGTCGCAAGTCCATCACAGGGACACATAGAGACAAACGAGACAAACAACCATTCACTGTCTCACTCACACCTAGGGACAATTTAGAGTTACCAATCAGCCTAACATGCATGTTTTTGGTCTGTGGGAGGAAACCGGAGTACCCGGAGAAAACCCACGCATGCACGGAGAGAACATGCAAACTCCACCCAGAAAGGCCCCTGGACCAGGGTTTGAACCAGGGACCTGCTCGCTGAGAGGCAGCAGCTCTACCAGCAGTGACAGACGTGTTTTCGTCAAATATTGATTCAAAATTTTGCTCAAAACAATAATAATAATAATAATAATAATAATAAATAGCATATTGTCACAATAAGTAATTAAAAACTATACGAAATAAAGCAAAACTTTCTGGTTTACAATTGTCGTTTGGCTATGGAAACTATAGACATTAATACGTATTAATGTCTATGACGGACACGGGAGTTGTGGGCGTGAGATCAGACTGGCCCCGCCCCCATCTTGCTCTCTCTGCGCACAGACTTTTGGGAAATTGAGTCCTCGCTTTCAATAATTCAAGCTCTCACTCCCTTCTCCTACTTCACTGCTAAACAAGATGCCGGCCGTACATCACAAGCTGCTCCTGGAGGACGCTTTGCAGGACAGTCCTCAGGTAGGCCATCCTGTGTCCTCTTGCGCTTTGAGGGCCAAACTTTCTAAATTAAAGCGTTCCGACAAGTGCTGAAGTTAGCTTAGCCCAGACAATATCCTACTCCCTGTGTAGGCGGTTTCCACTGGTCGATGACAGCTCAGTGAAAACATTATTGTGAAAATGAAAATGTAATTCTGACAGCAGGGACATCAGCCGCCTGCTGCAACAGCGTTTTCTTGATAAATATAGTCTGTGATCTGTTTGAGAGTGACTGTTCTGTATTTACGAGCAGTGTCTTCGTCGCTGTTGTCCTCGTAGGGAAAGGCTTCATCTATGAGCTGGAATGTTTGAAACGGTTTCTCCGACATGTTTACATCGAGTTTAAACTAATTCTTGTTCTGGACCCAGCTGGCCCTGATTCACATGTTGTGGGAAGACTTAACATTATCGGCCTCCAGTGGAAATAGTAATCAGCAAAATGTCTGAGTGTACATGATTTGAATGCATTGTGCAGGTTATCAGCTAAATGAAGACCTGATGAAATACATTTAAGATTGGTGCTTTATTCTACTTTTTTAAAGGCTGACCTCTTTAAGTGCAGGCCTTGATTGTTTTTATTTTTCTTCTCTTCTTCCAAAAACAAGACTATTCTTGTCAATTGTAAAAACTACACACAAACAAGAATAACAATATATTATTTATTTTGAGTATGAAATTACCCTTTGTGTTTAAAGTCAATTATTTGAAGTAAACACTGAAGTAAACTAATGGGCGCGTTGCTTTCTGACCACACCTGTTAGGAAAAAGAGCTTTACTCAAACAGGACTTTGTTAGTTTACATAATAGTGTCTCACTTTTGCATTTAACATCTGCAACACTTGTTTTAAAGCTACACTTAAAGGAGTAATTCAGATATTTTGAAATGGGCATCTCTGGAAAAGTTACAAACAACAAGTATCTTACCTGCTGTGAATAGTTCTTTGATCAGCCTTAGATTGGCAAAATAGTTCTGACCTGTCTGACAAGGAGTGAGGCCAAGATCGAAGCGATTGCTGGCATCTTAAAAACGACTTTAATCTAAAAAAAAAAAAAAGGACATCTATCTATCTCTAAATATATATATAATAATCAATAATAATCATTTTATTTAAAAAGCGCCTTTCAGGACACCCAAGGACACTTTACAGTAAGAAACATATCAGAAAGATTATGTAATTTATTCCTGTTGATCTTTGCACTGTGCTTGTTTGTTTTAACACAAAGAATATAAAATACATACATCAAAGTTTTATATATAAATAAATAATGTAACAAACCAGACAAATAATTAGAGTTTATGTTTTGCTTTTGCTTTTAATAACAGCAATAAATTGAACATTTAAATATTACCAACAAAAAAAAAAACAATACTAAATTGCATAAATAAATGTAAATAAATGATTTTATAACTTATATATATGATTTATTTACAAAAGTATGCAGATTTTTTATTCTTGGAAGCTTCTCAAAGAGTGTCTCCAGAACCTCTTGGTTTGTAAAGTATTAAACGTCTTGTATCAACAGTCCCATGCAAGGTGCTCTTCTTGCAGCTTGCATGGGGCTGCTGATTAATGGACCTCAGTCTTGAACAACTGGGGTTAGTATTTACCCCTTATCTGGTGTTAACTGGTCTTTAGCTGCTTGTTTAGGGGCCCTATAGTATGTTCTTTACTTGGACAGAGAGCAGACAAACTAATTCGGCTTATGTTGTGGCTCATTTTACAATGGGAGCATTTATAAATGACAAATTCAAGGAATGTTGCTTGTCTTTTAATTTAACCCAACTGATCGACTCCCCCACTAGATTAAATAAAAGCCACCCTGAAAATTCCTCCATCTTAGACCTGTTTCTAACTAATATGCCTCGCAAATTCCCTGGTACAGGTGTATTCGCTGATCTTTTGAGTGATCACTGTGTGACAGCGGCTTTAAGAAATATTAAACTTCCACCTTCTAAGCCCAGATTAATTCAAAAAAGGGATCTGAAACGTTTTTGTGAACAGTCATTCCTCTGGGATCTGTCTCACTTTGACTGGCATCGTATTCTGTTAACTGATGACGTGAACTCTGCTTGGAACTATTTCCATAATAATTTCATTTATTTCCTGAACTTACATGCTCCTTTTCGTCAGTTCAGAATAAAGGGACGAGACAGCCCCTGGTTTACTCCAGAGCTAGCTGACCTCCTGCACAGGAGAGATCATCTTTGGGCTGCAACGAGAAAAGCTGGTTCAGACACTGATTGGTTGAGTTTTCGACAGATGAGGAATAAATGCACAACTGCTGTTAAAGCAGCAAAACACAACTATTTCTTATCTCAGACCTCCAAAAATCTAAATGACCCCAACAGATTCTGGAAAACAATTAAATCTCTCTCAGGCACCCCCCAATCATCTGACCTCCCATCACAACTTCTCGTTAACTCTGTTCCTGTGTCAAATAAGCACGAGATCCTGAACTGTTTCAACAAACATTTTGTTGCTTCTAGTTCTTTATTTGACACAGTTACTAATGGAAGATCAGCCACTTCACTTAATAACCAAACTTCTACAAATCAAATCCCTCCTACAAGTCAATCCTCAGTTAATCACAGCTTCTCTTTTTCTCCATTCTCAGTCAGTGAGGTCAATAAACTGTTAAAAGATCTTGACCCTAAAAAATCTGCAGGTCCTGATGAACTTCCACCTTATTTTTTAAGGCTGGCTGCTCATATCATCATAGTCCCTGTGACCCACATCTTCAATCTCTCCATAAGACAAAACTCCATCCCAGACACTTGGAAAACAGCCTTTGTTCTTCCTTTGCTGAAGGGAGGTGACCCCACCTCACTGAACAACTATCGACCAATCTCTAAACTCTGCATTTTAGCCAAGGTTCTAGAAAAACTGATAAACTCTCAAATCAAAGATTACCTGGACTCATTTAACATCTTACCTCCACATCAATCTGGTTTCAGGAAACAACACAGCACAACCACTGCTTCACTGAAGGTTCTTAATGATGTTGTTGAAGCACTGGATGCTAAGGATTATTGTGCTGCACTTTTCTTAGACCTGTCTAAAGCTTTTGACACTGTGGATCATAACATCTTGTGCCATAAGCTCTCAGAAATCGGTTTCTCAGATCACACCATTGGTTGGTTCTCTAACTATCTTTCAGACCGGAGGCAATGTGTTCAACATAATGGTACTTCCTCCAGTTATTTAACAGTCAACAATGGTGTACCACAAGGCTCAGTCTTAGGACCCACCCTCTTTACAATCTATATACATAATGTAGGTAAAAATATCCCTAATGCATCCATACATTTCTATGCTGACGACACAGTTGTTTATTGTCGAGCTAAAACTGTTGCTAAGGCTTTCCAGCTTTTGAAATCTGCATTCAACATCATCCAGACTGATTTGTTTCGCCTCAAACTTGCCCTAAATGCCGACAAAACCAAAGGGATGCTTTTTTCAAATAGGAAGTTGGTCCCAGCAGTTCTTCCTCCGATTCTATCCTCAAATGGTGTCCCCATTGAGTTTGTTGATTCCTATAAATATTTGGGTATCTTGGTCGACTCACATCTTTCTTTTAAGCTCCATGTGGAAAACTTGATAAAGAAATTGAAAGTTAAACTGGGTTTCTTTTTCAGAAACAAATCCTGTCTAACCCTGAATGCTAGAAAACGCCTTGTATCTGTGACTTTCCTTCCCTCCATTGATTATGGTGACATTATTTACGTGAACGCTCCTACAAGCACCCTGCAGATGTTGGATGCTGTCTATCATGGTGCACTAAGATTCATAACTGGCTGTGATTATCGTACCCACCACTGCACTCTGTATTCATTGGTTAACTGGACATCATTAACTTCACGCAGACTCTCCCACTGGTACATTTTCATCTTTAAATCACTTCTTGGTCTGTTGCCTTCAAACATCTCCTCCTACATGTCTCTACATGAGTGCAGCTACAGCGTGTGCTCTCAGGACATTATTACCTGCAGTGTTCCCTCAATGAGGACTGAACTAGGCAAAAGGGCCTTCTCCTACTCCGCTCCAGTTTCCTGGAATATCTTACAAAAAGATTTGAAGCTCTCGACCTTGACCTCTCTAAGTGTCTTTAAGGGTAGGGTAGTCTTTTAGGGTGGACCTGGCAGGGTCCAATGCTGACATGTTCCTGTTGTTAGTTTTCTACATTTGTCTTGGAATCTAGCTGTTTTTTGTTTTGTTACCTTTTCCTTTTAGCCATCCTTTTTGTTATATAAAAAAAAAAAAAACTGTAGTATGCTTTTTTTATAACTGTTTATGGTTGTTGCTGTTGTCCATTGTTGTCATCTTTGTTGAAATCAGGTCTCTCTTGTAAATGATTCCTCGAGGCTCAATGGGATTTACCTGTATAAATAAAGGTTGATTGATAAACACAAATGTATTTATTTATTTTGGTTTTGAGTGAGTTGCAACATTTCTCCTGACACGTGTCCTCTCTCTGCTACCTAACGAACGATGATGCTCCAGACACATCTGTGCATGCATTCGGATCACGTAGCATACACATAATTTTGTTCAGTGCACATTTATTACAATGTTACATTTTAAATGCTAAAGTTCTGGGGAGGCTGGGTGCTCTCCAGTGCAAAGGGTAGGGGGTGTTTGGGTGATGGTGTATCAGCTTTAGTATCTTCCCAGGCCGCAGTGAATTGGTAATGTGTGAACACATACAGGTGGTTATTTTTTATGTGCAATGACCTTAATGGGGTGAAAGAGGTCCCCCCCCCCCCCCCCACGATAACACTTAAACGCTGGAGTAAATCCCTGGGGTGAGATGGTTGCATTTAGCAGAATCTGTCCAGCCTAAGATTGACGCAGACTGTTAAGACCTAGATAAGGCAACCAGTCGAGCTTTCCACTGGAAGGCCGTATCAGAGGGCAGCATGACCTAACATGACCTAACATGACCTAACATGATCTAACATGATCTAACATGATCTAACATGACCTAACATGACCTAACATGATCTAAAATGACCTAACATGATCTAACATTTAATAGAAGACAGTTCTGCTGCCCATTTCATTTTTAGAAGACTTATCGGTAAATCTTACTTTTCACAACAGAAAGTCTTAACCTACAACCTGCTAGTAGACTATCAAAGTCAAGTTAAGTCAAATTTATTTGTAAAGCACATTTAAAATCAGCAGCTGTTACCAAAGTGCTTAACAATAAAATCAATGGCAGTAATTAAAGAGAGAGGAAAAAAACGATAAAATGTAATTAAAAGCATCAAAAGAAAAAACCCCAAAACAATGAAATACTAAATCAACTCACCCTGTGTTAAACGTCAGTGAATACAGGTGAGTTTTTAGAAAAGATTTAAAAACAGGAAGTGAAGTGGCCTGTCTACTGTTGGTGGGGCAGGTTGTTCTAACTCCAGGCCTCGAGGGCCAGAGTCCTGCAACTTTTACATGTGTCTCTGATGCCACACAGCTGAATCAAATAAGGAGGTCATTAGCAGGACTTTGGAGAACTTGACTGCACTGAGAAGTTAATTCAGTCATATGATTCAGCTGTGTGGCATCAGAGACGCATCTAAAAGTTGCAGGACTCCGGCCCTGGAGGCCTGGAGTTTGACACTCCTCTGGGGGCCCATGACTGAAAAAGTCAGATCTCCTCTGAACTTCAGTCGTGTTTTTGAAACAGCCAAAAACAGCTGATCAGATGATTTCAGCACCCGAGAAGGAACATAAGGTTCCAGTAGCTCAGAGAGGTATGAGGGTGCAAGGTCATTAATGCACTTAAAGGTCAACAGGAGGATTTTAAAATCTATTCTGGTACATACAGGGAGCCAGTGAAGGGAGGACAGAACTGGTGAAATATGATAAAACCTACAAGTTCCTGTTAAAATCCGAGCTGCAGCACTTTGGATGAGCTAGAGACGAGAAAGGGAGACCTTACTGATCCCAACATAGAGTTCATTACAGTAGTCCAGTCGGGTTGTAATGAAGGCATGGACTAGTTTTTCAGGGTCAGATCTGGTCAACACTGACTTAATCTTAGCTATCTGCCTCAAATGGAAGAAGCTTTTCTGCAGAACAAAGTTAATCTGTTTATTAAACTTAAAGTCAGAGTCTGAACCATCCTGAGATTTTTAACAGACTGTTTAAGATAAGACTCAAGAGAGTTTAGGTTTACAGGACCAGAGACCACAGTCGAGCTAATGCTGAACACACTGACTTCAGTTTTCTGACCGTTGAAACTTAAAACATTTGAAGCCATCCATGCCTTAATGTCATCAAGACATTTTAACAGAGGGTGAATTGTGCAAGAACTATTTGGTTTTAAGGGCAGATAAATCTGACAATCATCAGCATAGCAGTGAAGAGAGACCATGTTTCCTCAGTATAGACAATCACAGTCAATCACAATATAATATGACATTTTAAGGCTTAAAGAACTAATTAATACATTAAAACTGCTCATTATGACAGACTGCAAGGTAAGAATTATGTTAATCAGGCAAAAGTTAGCATCTAAAACAATTCAGAAGTTTCTCTTTTAGTCAGGAAAGTGTCATGGTGGTGCAGAACATAACAATTATACTGCAGCGAGGATGCTCCTTCATCGTCCAGCTTCTGGTCCTCTTCTGAGTTATCATACACCCTGGTGTTTGTAAGTACCTGAGCCATTCAAAACTGATAGTGGTGTAAAAGTTCATAAAATGGCATAAAGTACAATAATAGATTGAAGTTGCTATAAGAAAACAAACATCCAGTTTAGTCTCTGCCCCACTCTGACTAGTCACTGGCTCCTCAGTCCTGTCTGATTTAACCACCTGCTGCCCCGGCCCACTAGGCCTCAGTTTTAGTGTTCACCCAAGATCAGCAGAAGGGTTAGCCTCTCTTCTTAAACTGAGGCCTGTTCAAAGTTCAATCTACAACAGGTAAGATATTATTTGTACATAACGTTTTACATAAAATATCTGAATTACGGGGCAGCACGGTGGCGCAACTGATAGAGCTGCTGCCTCTCAGCGAGCAGGTCCCCGGTTCAAACCCCAGTCCGGGGGCCTTTCTGGGTGGAGTTTGCATGTTCTCTCCATGCATGCGTAGGGTTTTCTCCAGGTACTCCAGTTTCCTCCCACAGACCAAAAACATGCATGTTAGGCTGATTGTTAACTCTAAATTGTCCCTAGGTGTGAGTGAGAGAGTGAATGGTTGTTTGTCTCTGTGGCCCTGTGATGGACTTGCGACCTGTCCAGGGTGCACCCTGCCCCTCACACGGTGATTGCTGGACATGGGCACCGGCGACCCCCGTGACCCAAAAATGGAAGACGCGGGTAAAAGATAATGGATGGAAGCTCTGAATTACTGTATCACTGTAAGACTTTTGGTTGGTGTCCCATCTCTTCTTTCCACTCCAGCTGTCTATATATTTTATTTGATGAGTGACAGATTATTGTCGGACTAGATTACAATTATTATTCTATTTTTTTAATGTAAATACCTTTTTAAAGCTGTAGTTTGCAACATTACAGTTCAAGTTCAAGTTGTGTTTATTTGTCATATGCAGGTTAGCTGTACAATGAAATGCTCAGGATGAGAAGAACTGATTTGACTCACTAAAAAAACAAAAAACAAAGAACAAACAAACAAGAAATACTGAAGCATGCAATAAGGGTACAAAATAAAGTCTCTAAAAGTGAAAAAGTAAATATAATGTATGCAAGGCCCAAAAGAAAAAAATAGTAAACAACAACATGGTAGAATATAACATTGCAAGTAGGATGAATTAATATAAATAAGTATTTCAGGGTAATTATATAATCTTAAATGCACATGCAAATACAGCAAGTTAGATAAGACGTAATGGATGTAACAAAACTTTAGTACGATCCAGAAAGTTTAATGCCTTTTATTATCATGGCAAAGTTCTTTTAACCACAGATCAATTTGCAGAATATACATTTTGTATTACACAAATTGTTCAAAATGCTGCTTATCATTGACCTGAAACTAAAAATTACTTTCAGTACTTTCCCAATATTGCACAATAAATCCAAATCTAACAATAAATAGTTTTGTAGTTACTGACATGATAGTTACATGTAGAGACTTGTCCTTCTTTAGCGGGAACAAATCTTTGACGTTCTTGTTTTTGTCGCACAGACTCGCTCTCTGCTGAGCGTGTTTGAGGAAGACTCTGGGATGCTGACAGACTACACCAACCAGCTGCTGCAGACGTTGCAGCGGGTGTTTGGAGCTCAGGTACTAAAGAAGCACGACACAAAGAGACAACTCTCACTCCCCACTGCTCAGCTGTGAGTTACTGTGAAACACGTGTTCAAACACTAAATCAGATGAAGCCATTTGCTCTCTAATCTTGTTGTTCCTTAAGTTTCTTTTGTGTCAAACGTTTAAGCAAACAATTGATTATTTTAATCCTAGTCAATTTACTTTTTATGAGACGGCCTCATGTGTAGTTTATACATCAATATCCTCTGGGCTCAAAGGGCCAGTGCAGGTATTGATTTGATAAACAGTCTTAATCAGTTTTTTCTAATAAAATGTGACAATTATATGACTTATTTGCAGTTCTACTAAAAACATACAATTCATGCTTACATAACTGGGTTTGTCCTACTAAATACAGTCCACTGTTACAAATAGTTTTTACTTCTGATTGCCTGTTTGCAGAATAAATCTAATTAGAACCATGATTCTAGTATAGCACACAGAGGGAGCTGGAGTTATGTAATGAACCTTTTTTCACTTGTTCCACTTCATGTTTTTGCTGTTTATTCCCAACAGAGTGAAATGGGATTGGCCACAGAGCAGCTCTCGCAGCAACTTCTGGATTACGAGAAGAAAGTAAGCTGGTCGTCGCCTATTTTTATTTTTAAAAAACTGTATTTAAACCCAAAGGAAGAAGTGGGTAAACATAATGGATGGATGGATGGTTATATTGAGTGATGGCACCCCTTGTTCACCGACATTAAACTATTTAAAAAGGTAATGTGGAAAACTAAACAAAAGCATTAAAAACTAAGTGCAAAAGACGTAAACACAGAAAATTAAACCTTAATCTTCCTGATTACTGAAGATGAACTGTTGAATAAAAAATAAAAGTAAATGGTAAATGGACTGTACTTATATAGCACCTTTCTATCTTATTTCAAGATACTCAAAGCTCTTTAAACTACAATCTGTGCCTCATTTACCCATTCATACAGAACTCTACTAGATCTCTACAAAGCTAATTGAACAAATCATTCTAAAGACACTAATCAGTGCTTTTTCACATCCATACACTGATAGGACAAACATCAATTTAAAAAAAAAAAGTAAAATGTTCTTTTAAAAGCTCCAGTATCAGCATATTTTTAAAATGTGTGAAAAGATATAATTTAATGTTAACTATTAGAGTAATATAACTCACAGCTCAAATCTAATGTTCTTAAAATACTCAGTAGTGGTTGTGTTGGGGGAGGGGGGGGGGGGGGTATTCCAGAAAGTAGTTTATGTGAAAACTGAGTGTTAACCCTGACTTTAGGGAAATTTTGTGTTTTATGTTCCATAAAGAGGAGTAATTAAAATGTCACCATGACAACAGACTCTGAACTAACCCTGCTCACTGACAGGATTCATGAAGGAAACTGAGTTTCTGCTTGTTCCCTTCCACCTGAAGCAAGTTGTCCATTTTTTAACCATCCATCCATCCATCCATCCATCCATTATCTTCCACTTGTTCCAAAGTTGGGTCACGGGGGCAGCAGCTTGAGCAGGGAGAACCAGACATCTCTTTACAGCCTCCTCTTCCAGCTTTTCTGGGAGGACTCCAAGATTTTCCCAGAACAACCGAGAGACATAGTCTCGCCAGCGTGTCCTGGGTCTTCCCTGGGGTCTCCTTCCAGTCGGACATGCCTGAAGTTCCTCCCTAGGGAGGTGCCCAGGGAGCATCATTACCAGATGCCTGAACCACTTCAACACTCCTCTCTATGTGGAGGAGCAGTGGTTCTACTCAGAGTCTCTCCGGATAACTGAACTTCTCACCTTATCTCTAAGGGAGAGTCCAGCTACCCTGAGGAGGAAACTCATTTCAACCACCAGTATCCATGATCTCATTCTTTCAGTCACTACCCAGAGCTCATGACCATAGGTGAGTAGACCGACCGGCAAACAGAGAGCTTTGCCTTACATCTCCCTCTTCACCACATCAGACCAGCACAGAGTCCACAATACTGCAGACGCTGCACCAATCCATCTGTCAATTTCACGTTCCATTCTTCTCTCACTCATGAACAAAACCCCGAGATACTTGAACTCCTCCAATTGAGGCAGAACCTCACCCTCAACCTGAAGAGAGCAATCCACCCTTTTCTGAGGACCATGGCCTCAGATTTGGAGGTGCTGATCCTCATCCCAGCTGCTTCACACTCTGCTATGAACCGCTCCAGTAAGAGCTGAAGTTCACAGCACGATGACGCCATAGAAGCAAAATTGATTGGCAACGCTTCACATTGGAAGAAGACTTTTCATCTTGAAGATAAAATTTGCCAACATTATTTTGCTGCTTAAAATAAGGAGTGGTGGCGCAGAGGTTAAAGAAGCAAGCCTGTGATCAGAAGCTCCCCCCGTCTGCTCCACAAATGTGAGCTCGATGTCTGTGGTTGTGTCAAGAAGGGCACCCACTGTAAAACAATTGACAAATCTTGTTGCAAGTTTGTTTTGTGTTGCAACCCCTGAAAGACTACAGAAAACATCTCCACAATCACAGCAACCACACCGATCTCCACAAAAACAAAACACCAATTCACAATAATTTCGACTTCTTTATTCCCTACATGCAACAGCTATGATTTGTTATATCGTTAATTATCCACCTTTGGTGTTACGGTAAAACAGCTTTCTAGGTTCACTTTTTTGGTTTTACAGTTCAGCTGTAAAATTTCCATCTGTTAAAGTGTTAAGGAGACGCTGCCTGTATAACGTCACTGAGTTTTTGTACTATATAGATCATTGAGCATGCATCAGGATATATAGATCATATTCTTCTTCTTTTGGCTGGTCCCTCTTCAGGAGTCGCCACAGGAAGTCATCATCTTTTCTCTACTATACTGTAGATTAGGGGTTGAATGACTACATAATTTTTGAACTCAACATTAACATAATAAAACGAAAGTTACGTATGTAACTACGATTCTATGAATCCCGGATGACCGCCCCTAGGGGCCGTGGGGGGGCGGCAGCCAGAGTCCCTGGTCCGAGCCTGCCCAGCTGGTCGGAGGACCGACCCACGAAAGCTCCTGCTGAGCCTTTGGTGAACCGCATGAGGGTAAGGAACACCCGGCCGGTTATGACCCCCAGGCGGCAGCTGCATGCTGGAGTCAGCCGACAGGCGCCTTGGATGCCGAGGAGGTGGAGGGGGCATTGCCCTGCTAAGCCTCGAAAATTGCTGCCTTCTCTGTCGTGCCTGGACAGTCCGTTCCAGTGCTTCCAAGGCAGCCGAACCGAACAACTCCCCTGGCACCACTGGGACATTACGGAGGGTTCTACGGCATGGCTCAGTCAATGCTGACTGCGCCAACCAGACCTGTTGGCGAGCCTGGACCAAGGAGGACATCACGCGCCCAAGCTCCCTCGTCATTAGTGCAAAGGCCTGAAGTGCTGCATCGTTAAAGCCCATTGCTGCTGTCACACCACTAGTCCCCTGAAGGGACGCGGAGAGGGTAAGCATTAGGTGTGCCAAGGAATTACCTAAGCGGCCAGCACGCGCTCCGGCGGCATAGGCTTTGCAGAGGAATTCATCCGTGACACGACACTGAGCTTGTGGGCACCGAACATGACTGCGCAGAGCTTCTTCTGGTGACACGATGAGAGAGGCAACAGCAGGTTCTATCGCTGGCATGCGATCCAAGCCTGCTGCAGCCGGCTCATGCATGGCCGCCAACACTCTGCCATCTGCAGAGAGGCGCTCAAAGGCTTTGGGGTCCCGCCAGCAACCATGCAACTCCCTCAGGAACTCCTCTGATGGAGGGACAGAAAAGGAAGGAGGGGTCAGTCCGCGCCTGAAGAAGGCACTTCCAGGGGTGGACGCCTCTAGTTGCGGGACGTCCAGCTGCAGTTGTCTCAGGGCCATACGCATGACGTCCTGCATCGAGCCGTCACCCGACCCACTAACTGCACTCCGAGAAGAAGAAAGTGAAGCTGTCTCTGAGACTTGAGATGAATGCCCGTCCTCCTCACCTAAAAAGTGAGAGGCAAAGGCAGCCAAGGATAGCACATCTTCCTCCACAGCCAGTTCAGGCATGGGTGGGGAGGAGAGTCCGGTTGCTGCCACTGGTTCAGTTCCCAGTTGGCGTACCTGAAAAAGGGACTTCATCTCCGCTAATTCAGCGGAGAGCTGCTCCACCCTTGTGGAGAGGCCCCTATCAGACCTGGCTCGCTTCTTCCCAGGAGGGGCCACAGAGACTGCGGCCTCAGTCCGGCGCTTCGAGTGCCTAGGTGGAGCCTCCTGCCCAGAAGGCGGGAGGTCATCGCCGAGTTTGGGGCGAAACTGGGCCAGCTGGGCCACACTCACAGCATGCGACATGAAGCTGCAATTCATGCAGGGGTTCTCTGACAGGGCATCCACCAGATGGTCATGTCCAAGGCAGGCAGGACACAGGTCGTGACCGTCATCTGTCTGGAGCATGGCTCCACAGACTGTACAGCAGTGAGAGCCGTCCATGCTCCTTACCCAGTTATGTCCAAGATATTCAGAGAGGCTAGCTCAGCTGGTAAAAGAGGACAATTGGGAGAGGGGGCGCGAACGCTCGCCTTCACCAATCAAAACAAGGTTAGAACTCAGAGAGGCTAGCACCACTAGCTCAGCTGGTAAGAGAGGACAATTGGGAGAGGGGGTGAGAACACTCGCCTTCACCAATTAAAACAAGGTTAAAACTCAGAGAGGCTAGCACCACTAGCTCAGCTGGTAAGAGGACAATTGGGAGAGGGGGTGAGAACACTCGCCTTCACCAATTAAAACAAGGTTAAAACTCAGAGAGGCTAGCACCACTAGCTCAGCTGGTAAGAGAACAATTGGGAGAGGGGGTGAGAACACTCGCCTTCACCATTTAAAACAAGGTGAAAACTCAGAGAGGCTAGCACCGCTAGCTCAGCTGGTAAGAGGACAATTGAGGGGGTGAGAACGCTTGCCTTCACCAAATAAAACAAGGCCAGGAACTCAGCTGGCTACGTAATAAGCAAACTTCGGAGCACAGTCCAACCGACCACACGGTTGGAGGCCTCTAGTAAACAGGAGCGGAGCGAACGCTACCGCTAACCAATAGCAAAATATAAACAAAAAACCACTACTCACCAGTGTTAAATCACACACATAGTAGTCATAAACAACGTCGGAGCACAGTCCAGCCGACCACGCGGTTGGAGGTCTCCCAACAAGTGTGAGCGGAGCGAACGCTACCGCTAACCAACGGCGAAATATAAGGAAAACTACTCACCGGTGTTGAATCACACACATAGTAGTCAGACGCTGTAAGTTGGGAGAGGCAGAAACCGCCATAGTCCCCAACGAGCCCCAACGTCGGGCTATATAGCCTCTGATTGGTCATCCGTGTCACACCTGTGACTCCGTTGGTATTATTACTCGAATCAGCGCATGCGCGAAGGGAACATTCAGTGCTTTCAGCACCGCCCTCTGGCGGTCAGGAGGGATGAAATAGAACTCGAGTAGAACTCAAGTACTTGATGACATCATAGGATCTAAAGATACAAAAATAAATAAATAAATAAAACCGCAAAAAAGGTCATTATTTACAAAAAAAAAAAAAAAA